CATTGTTAAAATATGGACATCTGACAGAACTATCTGATTTTTTGGTAAGCTACAATTACAGAACTTAATTTCTGAAGAGGAACACACCAGAAAATTTGTTTTTTGGGGGAAAAAATTAAATAAATGTATTTATATCAGAATACTATATTAGTCCACAAACTTGGAAAAAAAAGTCACTTTAATCCTACATCTGTGAAGAAAATTGTTAGTATGAATTCACAGAACAATAATCAGTATGTGATGAATGGAACTATATATACAAATGACCAAGACAGGGATCATAAAAAACAATCTATCCAACACAACTTTCACAGTTGCAAAATAACTGTTTCTTATACTTCAACTCATGCATTTGATAAAACATATAAAACTATTAAAAGTCTGTATTCTAAAGACATTTGCTTTTACAGTGAAACATAGGAGCTGGAAACTCAGACACTGTAGGATAGAGAAACTAAGAGTGTTGATGACTGATACATAAAACACAGCAACACTTGTTTGTACCTGCCAATCAAGAACACGGTGATACATAACCTATTGGATGCCCTCGCTGGGAAGGGAGACATGCTAAAAAAGTTACTTTTCTATGCCACTGTTACAAACAACAAAGAGAGTAGAGATTTTCAACAATTACAAAGATTAAAAGATTTCTTTCAATCCAGAATTGTGGCAGTTTCCTAAATGATTTTACTTCCTTTCATATGTATGTCAGCATCATAAACGCAAGGTAAGAAGTGCACAGTAAACATATTAGATCAAAATATTCTACCATTTACTATTAATGTATGGAAAAAACATCAAAGAATTCTTTTAGAGCAACTATGGATTCAGATAGAAAAGACTCTATTTAAAGGTTTTTAAAAAGTTTTTCATGGGATCACATACAAAGTTAACTTTGGCTATTCTGCGCCACAGAACTATGAAGAACTTCAGGAAATCAATCTTGCAAACTCAGTGTGTCAATATTTATTCAGATGGTAAAAATTGTTATGATGCCTTAACTGTACGTACTTTCATTTAGTCTAGGTTACTTTCAAAGAACTTGCATTGCATGGTCTGAAATGATCTTAGTATGAACTTGAGCATGTCTATTGAGCATGTTGTGCCTAGACATCAAGATTACAGTCAGTATGCAGTCATTTAAGCAAGTGCAGACACGTTTAAAAAGAAATAGCCATTCCATCCTGTTATAACAAATGGAGAAAAAATACCACTAAACATCTCAGATAATTATATCTCAACAAGTGTTCTGTTCATTTATGCTATGATGAACAATGGCATTGGTGTACAAGGGAAACGTGACCGATGTCATTCATCTGGACTTGAGCAAGGCCTTCGACACGGTCCCTCACCACATCCTTATCTCCAAATTGGAGGGATGTGGATTTGATGGGTGGACCACCCAGTGGATAGGAAACTAGTTGAAAGGCCACAGACAGAGAGTGGTCATCAATGGCTCCATGTCCAGGTGGAGGCCGGTAACGAGTGGCGTCCCCCAGGGTTCTGTCTTGGGATCAGTGCTCTTTAACATCTTATCAACGACATCGATGACAGAATCGAGTGCACCCTCAGCAAGTTTGCCGATGACACCAAGCTGAATGGTGTGGTCGACACGGTTGATAGATGAGAAACTTAACATGATCCAGCAGCGTGCTCAGAAAGCTCAGAAAGCAAATGGTACCCTGGGCTCCATAAGAAGAGGGGTGGCCAGAAGGGACAGGGTGGTGATTGTCCCCCTTTACTCTGCTTTTGTGAAGCCCCATCTGGAGTACTGTGTCCAGGTCTGGAGCCCCCAGTATAAGAAAGACAGGGAGCTGCTGGAGAGGGAACAGAGGAGAGCCATGAAGATGATCAGGGGACTGGAGCACCTTCCCTACGAAGACAGACTGAGGGAGCTGGGCTTGTTCAGCCTGGAGAAAAGAAGGCTGCGGAATGACTTCATTTCAGCCTTTCAGTACCTAAAGGGAGCCTACAAACAGGAGGGGAATCAACTCTTTGAAAGGGTTGATAACAGCAGGACAAGGGGAAATGGTTTTGAGTTGAGGGAGGGAAGATTTAGCATGGATGTCGGGGAAATTCTTTACAGAGAATGGTGAGGTGCTGGACCAGGCTGCCCAGAGAGGTTGTGGATGCCCCGTCCCTGGAGGTGTTTGAAGTCAGATTGGATGGGGTCCTGGGCAGCCTGGTCTAGTATTAAATGTGGTGGTTGGTGGTCCTGACTGTGGCAAGGGAATTGGAGATTCGTGATCTTTGAGGTCTCTCCCAGCCCTGCCATTCTGTGATTCTGTGTTGAACCAAGTAATTTCTTACATATACACAGTATATATCTGAAGCTTCTTGAGATTATTTTTATGAAACCTATGGTGACATTAACTTTAAATAGGAATGTGCAATCTGTATACAAGAAAATATAAGGAATGTAATAGCAACTATATTTCTACTCGTTTATTATATATGTAGATAACTCATCTCCTTATGTTGGTGACTTATAAACCAAAAGAAAAGGACATTACTTAGTTTAGCTGCACTCTATAGTCTATTAGGAGTAAAATACATGAGAGAAACAGTTAAATTCAAGTGACTCAACTTTCTTCCTCAGTTCAGTTATTCTAGTTATTATTGTATTATTAGTTATTCATATTGCTGTTTAATAGCACATCTGTGTTAGGTATGTAATTGAAATTGTACTCTATTTGCATGCTTTATTTTGCAAACAAGAAGCAATGAAAATTTTTAAAAGCCCGTAACTAGAAATGCGTAGCATCTGAGCTCCACCTACAGGATAAGAACAAACATAAAACCAGTTTCCATCTGCCAAAGTGAAAGAGTAGTATATACTATGAAGCCTTCAGCTGATCTACTCAAGACACTAGCATTTTTAAAACTTCATGTAATGTTATCTGTATATATTTTCATTTACACAGCTGTTCTGTATTTTCAAGTTTAAGTTCAATCTTTCTATAAAAACAACAGATATTTAGAATTTGTCTAATGAGCTGCCAGAATGAACAAGATCTTTTTTCCTTAAGTTTTTTATCTAGTATAAAATTGGAAAGTGTCTTCAAATTATTTTTTTATGTAAACAAAAGTCTCAAAAGGATGTTGAAATTACTAAAACTAACATCACCATCTGAGCACCCCAAGAACAACTGCATTTGAAGAAACAGTTGTGGATCTCAGTACCATGAATTTGAGAAGGTGTCTATTATTTCCATATTGTTCCTCTAAAACAGATGTGCATACTTCTGATTTCACAAAAGGATTTGTGTGAAAAACAGGATGACTAATAAAAATGAATAAAGATTTGTAAAACAAGTCATGCATGTTAAAATTCATTACTCAGAAAAAAAATATTTTTAGAAATTCTCTTATTCTATTAGCACATTTAAGTATCTGATGAGGTGAACAGTACCTGATATAAGAATTTTCTTGTCCCCCTGATATTTGACTAGACATGCTTCTTCAAGATAAGTAAGGTGGATTGAAGCTTTTGTTTGACAGTCGCACCTCATCCATTTCTCCTGTCAGTACACACTTGGACAATAGTGGCTGGTGAAGTCCCACAAGAATATTATCAATCATCCCTACTATACTTACAAAAAGGCCACTACTCTAGACAAGGAAACTTGATAACCGGCTGATTATCTCATCAAAACCAATGTCACTAGCACCTCATTTACATCAAACAACCCATGCTTTTCATTTTCATACAGGATGCCTTACCATTTGGAAAATAACAGATTCTAGAAACTGATGTAACCTGTATTACTAAGCAGTGTCTCCCAGGGCTATTGCTCTCGAAGCATCCAATAAAACTCACTTCAAAGACAAGATAGTCCATTTGGCTATGATACTACTACAACTTCCCTGAAAGAGTGGAATAATCACGGACTAAACACATTGTACTTGCATAGGAAGAGCCAGCAGCTTACAGACTGTTTGTACAAATATTTATGAAATCTGAAAAAATATAATGCAAGCACTCCTAAGGGTATGCGTAATCTTTATGTCAACCTCATGCTGAGAACCTGCAACTACATGTTAGACAAGTTTGTATCTAGTAGCCCTTGCTGCAAAACCCAGCAAGTAGTTAAGTAGATTGGTTGGAAGACCACTGAACACACACGCAATGTAAATCTTAGAATCATTAAGGTTGGAAAGACCACTAAGATCCTCTAGTCCAACCATCAGTCCATGCCTGTGACCACTCTACACCATGTTCTCCAGTGCAACACCTACTCTTCTGAAAATCTCCTGGGATGGTGACTCAACCACCTTCCTGGGCAGCAACCTGGTATAACGTAAAGCCATTATTTCTCATCCTACCACTTGTTCCCCAGGAAAAGTGGCTAACTGCCACTTCGCCAAAACTTCAGTTTTTTTTTTTTTTAGAGAGCAATAAGGTCCCCCCTCTCTTCTCCAAACCAAACAATCCGAGTTTTCTTAGCTGCTCATCTTGTGCTCCAAATCCCTCACCACCTTTATTGCCCCTTCTCTGGACACGCTCCGGGGCCTTAATGTCTTTCTTGTAGAGAAACTGAACACTGTACTCATGGTGTATGGCATCACCAATGCTGTACAGAGCACATGAAGAGCACAATGTCTTTTGCTATTCTAGAGATGTTTGGCCTCCTAAATATACCTAAAGACCCTTTCTCAAGAAAGCTTTCCTTGGATATCTCCTTTATTTCTGACCCCTCCCTTCCATTCTACAATAAGGCCATTTAACACTGATCTTTTTTTGTCCAGTCCAGAGGTATTCTTTCCCATTTTTCTCAAAAACTAGATTCAAGTTTAAACTACCAAATGAAACTAAGAACTGAGAAACCAACCGGCAGTTTCATCTTTCATAGTCGAGGGAGGCTGACAAATTTAATGCAGTACTAAAACAAAAATGCAGTAAATACGAAACTGGAATTGAACAGCAAATAACTGAAAATAAGTTGGAGAAAAATAATATATGATTTATATGACTTATATATGACTTTTACATGACTTACCTGCGACTGGTGATTTTCTTTTCCATCTTAGTTTCTTCCTCTTGAAGTTGCAGTTTAGCAGTTTCACTTGTATCCATTTTCAACTTTTTTGCAATGCGTTCTTTCATTTGAAATCTCTCATTGCTAGCAGCTTCACCTTCTACACTGTCAACATCTTCACCATTTTCATCTTCCTTCTTTATTGATAGAACATAAAAAAAAAAATCCTTAGCTTTTTCTACTTTTTAACTACAGATTCTTGAATACATAAACTTTTTCTTACGAAGATGATTCTTTACCACAACAAACAAAGAAACTTAACAAGCAACAATCCACAATTTTTAAAATTACTTCAAAGAACAATTTCAAGAATGTCTCTGTATCATTTAAAAAACAGAAATAGTGAGACTTTAATCCCTGAAAGGTATGCAGAAGGTTTCATGGCAATATGCTATTAGTTTGATTATTACTTATGGATCCAAAAGTCGATCAAGGCAATATATTAACACTTCATTAATTTTCCCTTAAAAGAAAACCAGAAACGCAGAAGGCCAACTGTATCAGCTGATGGGTGGCCAGAAAGAAGAGGGAAGTGACTGTTCTCCTTTTGCTCTGCCCTCATGAGGTCCCACCTGCTATATGCACACATGCAGGTTGGGCAGAGAATGGCCTGAAAGCAGCTCTGATGAGAAGGATCTAGAAGTGCTGGTTGACAAAAGGTTCAACATGAGCTGGCAATAGGCACTTGCAGCCCAGAAAGCCAACGGTATCCTGCACTGCATCAACAGAAGCGTGATCAGCAGGTGGAGGGAGGAGATTCTGCACCTCTACTCTGCTCTCATTAGACCCCACCAGGTGTACTGCACCCAGTTCTGAGGTCTCCACCACAAGAAGGACATGGAGCTGTTGGAGTGGGTCCAGAGAAGGGCCATGAAGATGATCAGAGGGCTGGAGCACCTTCCCTGTGACAACAGGCTGAGAGAGTTGGAGCTTTTCAGCCTGGAGAAGAGAAGGCTACGAGGAGACTTTATAGAGGGCTTCCAATACTTGAAGTGGGCCTAAAGAAAAGTTGGAGAAGAATTTTTTATAAGGCGTGTAGTGACAGGATGAAGGGAAGTGGCTTAAAACAGGAAGAGGGTAGGTTTAGACTAGATACTAAGAAGAAATTATTTACTATGAGGGTGGTGAGACACTGGAACAGGCTACCCAGCAAAGTTGTGAATGCCCCTACCCTGAAAGCATCCAAGGCCAGCTGGATGGGGCTGTGAGCAACCTGGACTAGAGGGAGGTATCCCTGCCTATAGCAGGGGGGTTAGAATGAGATGATCTTAAAGGCCCCTTCCAAGACAAACCACTCTATGATTCTATGAAATGACCAGGCTTGCTGTGTCAAAATACTGCATGACAGCCAATCAGCAGAGAATCACAGCTTAAACAAGAGTGTGATCATGCACATGGCTCGAACAAAGACAGAATTTGAGTTTATGTGTCCAAGAAGCTGAGCACATGCTGTGTTTTGCAGAAGAGGTAACAGCATATACAGTGGAAATAAGCTGCCTTCTTTTTGTTTAGGTGCAAGGATGAGGGAGACTGCATCTGTCCTTCACTCTCATTGAATACCAGCTAACAGATGATAGCTACTGACCTATGCATAGCAGACAGATATGAAAAACAAAGTACTTCTGAGGATTCAATTTATGGAACACAGGATTATATTCCCAGTCATTCATGTTTTGATAGCAACTCAAAGATCTAGCCCATCATCCATGGCTGTAGGTAAATATGCACTTCAACTTGCAATTTTATTCCGTAATATCAATAAAAACTTCCTTGTATATAAAATATCCTCCATGTTTGGACATCCAACTTATTACTGCTTGCTTACTTAAATTTCCCACCTTTCAGACATAACAGTCTTTATCAATGCTATTTTTAGTGATAGACATTCATCTTCTTCCCTTGAAGAAATCTTCCAATAGCATTCTCACTCATACAGAGCCTTCCCCTTAGATTAGTGTTCTATCATCATTCATGACAAATATAATCTTCATTCCTTTCCCATCCCTGAAGCAATTTCAGGGCTTGTATTAAAGGTTTGTGACTCTGTGGTAATCAACCCCATTTACTGACTGAAATATCTGCTAAGAAGTTTTCATAAAATGCAGTAGGTGGCATGCAGCAGCAAGTTTACCCTGACACGAAAGCACACAACTGCCAACCCTCAGAGCTCTGAAAGGGTTACTGGTTTTTGATGGAAATCTGACTTGAGCTAGCTTTAAAAATCCTCAAAAGCAGCATTTATTTCCCACAGGAAAATGTTAAATCACATACAATAAGGAAAAAAAGATTTATTTGTAAAAATAAATAATAATTCAAAAAATTACTTACCTCACTCAAATAACTCTCTTCATTTGCTGCATCACTAAAAAAGAATAATTAATACTTTAAAATAGCAGAGAAGACTTAAAATACTGTTCAAAACACAGCTCTTTAATAAAAATTTTAACTAATTGAAATTTTAGGTAACTTAGTCATTTACACCATCCTCACATTCATTCTAACATTACCAATTAATAGTATTTTCTGTCATTTGTCATCATCTTCTCTAAATAAAAAGATTAATATCAAAGGATAAAACTGTAATCTGCCACAGACACATTCTATTACTAACCATATTCAGACAAAATGCTGAAGTATACAGTTGCTTCAAAGGTGAGGAACTATACTAATTATTACAATTATTTTTTAAATTTAAGTCAAAATATCTATTGATCAAGAAAATATTATGATTAGGCAAGCGAACAGAATACTATAGAACAGCCTTGGAAATCAATCTGGACCAATAAATAACGAATTAATGGACACAATCTAGGTGTAATATCTTACAAGCATAAGCAAAAATCCTAAATAACGTATAATAATTTAGTCAGACAATATACATAAGCGGGCATGCCATCATGTTTTCTGACTACTGTTTGCACTGTACTGCTGAAAAGAAAAAGAAACAACAAAAGTCACTTTTAAGATAGTTGATTTTTATCTCATTTATACATTCCTAGCATTTAATGGCAAATATTCTGTATTTAAGAATTTTTTATATAGGTGTGTTTTATTTGCATTATACTGATGTGAATTTAACATCAAAAACTTTCTGTGGAAGTAATTTTTTCTTAATAAAACTTAAAAAAAAAAAAAATCATCTGAAAGTATTAAAGAAAATATTTTGAATTAATACAATTCTGTTCTGACGTCAGTACCAAACAAGCAGACGCACAGTATGAGGTAATTTGTGGGTTTTATGGCAGTAGAGGAAACTGTCTTATTAACCTCTGGCAGAAAGGGCTACATGTGGCTGCAGATGAGCTGTCTGCTTTATTACATTTGCACTCACACATTCTCTAGTCAAATGTTTTTAAGGAAACTAAGTAGCTCTGAGATGACAGAGAAAAGGCCTCTGCACTAGTAAATTCAATGTTATAAGACAGGAAACAAAAGTCAGGAGCAAACCAACACTTCATGCAGTGAAGATTACTAACTTATTTCCACTATTGCGTGCTAGGTCTTGAGTTGTTCATCAAACTCAATAACAAAGTAGGCAAGCAACTGCACTACTGATTTTTTTAATAATACTACATCATGCAGAACAGTACAGACAAGAGTAGACTAATGAACAGCAGAAGAAACAGAAAGATAAGACAGTAAAATGTGAGATGAAATTTGAAGTGTATACAGGTAGAAAGACAAACAGGACAAGGAGCTTGAAGTTGACCAGCACTAATCATGAATTCTTTGAATACTGTGCTGAGATAATTCCATTGAAAGTGTATAAACAATGGCTTAAAAAGCAAATCAGAAGTTTAGAAGGATTAAAAAAATAGAGGACAAACTGAAGACTGTCTTTATGCAAGCATATGTCTTTAAATGTCATCTTTAATTTGCTTAGATTCAAATAAAAACTAGCAAAATGATATTTCAGAACAGAAATGGTGTCAGAGAAGAGAAACAAGAATAACTTGTTTATTGTAACGGATACTGAATTCTTCTGTGAAGAAAACCTGAGAAGGTTTTAAGGAATCCAGATGGAAAAGAAATGGCCTAAGAAGGGAATGTAGTAAAAACAGGCATATAAAGACTGGCTGCTCATTGTCTCTTCCAAACAAGAATTAGAAATTACCAAACAAGGCCAGTAACGTGATGTTTCAGAAAAAAGACACAAAACAGACAAAAAAGAAAACACAACAAAAAAAGAGATACTTCCTTCTGCAAATGTAGGATAGTAAGATGCAAATGTAAAATAACGTTATAAGAGGTCACTGCATACTCTGAAGAGAGCACGTGTAAGGGTTACTAATTAGACGAACCATATCAAAATCTGCCAGCTCTGTGACCTGAAAGTAGTTTGAGGTTGTAAGGCTATTCAGCAAAACGATACGTTTGCCCTATTTTTCATCTTTCTTGGCACCCATTGCTGGATACCCACTGCTGGCAACTGCATAGTGAGTTAGAGGAACATTTGGTCCAATCCAGCAAAACGTTTCATACTTAAACAGTGACAGACATAAAATGAGTATCTTTGCATCAGGTCTAACACCTTTAAAGTAGATCTGCTCTGGCATGTGGAAAACTTGTATTAACCTTTTGACAGCAGGAACTGAGCTCAAATGTGGATCATCCTTCAGTAGGTCATGACTACTTTTACTCCTTCCCTTCATGTTCTGTTAAAAAAAAAAAAGGGTTACAAATTTCAGTGTTTAAGGGAATACAGAAAAAGGCAATGGTAAGGAAAAAATTATTTATTTCCAGTTAGTTTTAACCTAAGTAGTAAGCACAAACACTTCTAATTACAAAAGAACATAATCCTTGCAGGAAAACAGTAGTAGTGTGGATAATAACATCACCTTCTGAATTATCAACACCTTCTTTATGTGTTATATTTGACACTGTCTTATTTGTCATTCTCCTAGAGATGCTGGCAACTGAGGGCTTGAGTAGATACACTCTTTGCTGGGTAAAAAACTGGCTGGATGATCACTCCCTAAGAGTAGCGGTAAATGGAGTTAAATCCAGCTGGCAACCCATCATGAATGGTGCTCCCCAGGAGTTGATATTGTAGCCTTTCCTGTTCAATATCTTTACTGATGACCTGGACAAGAGGATTGAGTGCACCCTCACTAAGTTTGCAAACGACACCAAGCTGGGAGGAAGTGTTGATCTGTCTGATTCTATTTGAAGGCCGTTCAGAGGGATCTGGACAGGCTGGATAGCTGGGCTGAGGCCAATGAGATGAAGTTCAACAGGACCAAGGCTGGGTCATGCATTTTGGCCACAGCAACCTTAGGCAGTCCTACAGGCTTGGGGCAGAGTCGCTGGGAGACTGTGTGGAAGAAATGGACCTGGGGGTGTTGGTCAATGCTCAGCTAAACATGAGCCAGAAATGTGCCCAGGTAGCCAAAAAAGCCAATAGCATCCTGGTGAGCAGAAGCAGAGAAGTGATCATCCCTCTGGTGTAAGCACCGGTGAGGCCTTACTTCAAATACTGTGTTCAGTTTTGTGCTTCTCACTACAAGAAAAACATGGAAGCCCTGGTGCATGTCCAGAGAAGATCAACAAAACTGGTGAGGGGTCTGGAGCACAAGACTTATGAGGAGAGGCTGAAAGAACTGGAACTGTTAAGTCCAGAGAAGAGTGGGTTCAGGAGATCTTGCATCTCTCTACAATGACCTGAAAGGAGGTTGTAGCAAGGTAGGGGTCAGACTCTTCTCCCACATAACTAGCAATGGGAATGGAAGGAATGGCTTCAATTTGGATCAGGAGAGATTCAAGTTGGATGTTAAGAAACACTTCTTTTCTGAAAGTGTGGACAGGCACTGGAGGTGCCCCAGTCACTGTCCCTGGAGATGTTCAAGAAACATATAAAAGTTATGCTAAGGGACTCAGTTTAGTGGGGAAATACTGATGGTATGAGGATGATCAGAAAGGTTGATCTTGGAAGTCTTTTCCAACCTTGGCGATTCTATGATTCTACGAAACACGACAAGCGCTTAGCACCTTTGTAAACTGCTCCAAATAAGTACAGACAATTAAATGCAGTTTTGACAGTGAAAGCTTCAGCCTAAACAAGGTGACAATCAGTGGGGGTCACGCTGTCAGGTCCCAAAGCACACTGATATAGTACAGTGTGTCTTCAGGACTCTTACCTGGACCTGCTCTGCCCATGAGCACTGTTTCCACTTAGGCCTGTGAATTCAGACACTGCCTGAACTGTAACAGATGTATGCTTGAGCCTAGCATTCTGGATGGACTTCTTGGACAGACACTGTAGCTTTGCTTAATTAGTTACTTTTTCAGACTTTTCTAAATTGGCAATTTTACCGCATTTGGCAACTCCTAAAAAGTTGACAGAAGAATTTCACAGCATGACAACACTGAAACTGAACTTGTCATGACAGAGATGTTTTATCTAGATCATTTTAAAATGAAGCGCAAGTATTTGGAGTAAAAGAGAAGGACACAGCAAACAAATTGAATGCAATACTGAAAAACAGACACATATAGCAGAATGTCAGACAAACATGCTCTTAAGGAAAGTAAGCATAGTTGTTGGACAGGCTAAGTCAAAACAAGGAAGCATCAGAGTTAAAATACTGTGATAAATCTCTGCTACTAACCTAACTGCCACCATCTTACTGTAACACTGTGCATTACTGTACTCATTGCTGTCCTCTGTACTTCACTGTAGGATTGGGAATAATTTTCATTACGACAGTGCAGAACTTAGCATAATGTAATCTCATCACTAATAAAAATTGGTACCTGAGCTGTACAAGTCAGTTATAATGTCTGCAGCTCTCAAGAAATAATTTGGTCAATAGTAGAAACATGGGTGGCAACCTGCAATTTTTTAAAGTAATTTGGCAAAGTCCATTCAGGAGATATTAGATTAAAGAATACCTACACCATCCAAGTTCTGTGAATTTGGACAATTTGTAACAGTGTAACTGTTTTTATTTTTAATTTAACTGTTTTAAATTAATTACAACAACATATTAATTACAATGACATGATAATTTTCCCACAATAACACTGCCTTATTCTTTGTACAAAATATACTCACATAAGAAAACAGAGCCTAGAATTCCCTGGTAATGAAGAAGTTGACATATTTCAACTCTCAAGTTTTTTACTTGTAATTAAGGAAGTGAAAAAGAAAAAAGTACCTATTACCTTGTTAGACAGCAGAAATAGCTTTACACAGCCACACTATGACAAATGGAATCATTTTTATATTTCTGTAAACACTATCATGCAATAACTGAAGGCACCTTCTAAACTAGAAAAATTCAAGGTTTTTTTCTAGAAATCAAAATAGTAGAATTATAAAAACAAAGATAATTTCTAATATTATTGTTTAAAACTCAGAAGTAAAAAGAATACAAAGGACTTTACAATATTTCATTAACATGTAAAAAAGATAATTTTAAGTTGAAAATAAAAATGAGGATGATTTGGTATAATACCTGACTAACTCTGTTGACTTCCTCCTCTTCTTCTTCAGCTTCTTCCCCAAACGAAAGCAAGTTAAAATTTCTTTAAGAGAGAAAACACATTTCCTATTAAAACTTTAATTTTAATTATCATTTGATAAACTTCAAACATGCAACTTCCATTTTGTACGTCCCTATTCTATGCCTGAGACAGAACAAACAGGACAGTTACAAACTAACATACTTTAAAGTCACTTTAAAGTCACACAGAATTTAAAATTCTGCCTTGACTAGCTTCCAGAGACTTATAAATGCCAACAGCTCTTTATTATTTTTTTTTAATACAGCAACGCTCTAGCAGTAAACACAAAATTCTCAAGATGCAACAGCTCAGGAAAGCAGCAACCACAAATACAATTTCACAAATGTATTTAGAATAGATAATGATCTTTAAGGGTTTTTCTTCAAAATTATTTATGCACTGTATTAGAAACAGCTAGTTGCAATACAATCTGCTTCTGTCCAACAGAACCAAAAGCATGCACATAGTACCGAATTCCTATTACTTCTCATATATATGTAAATCTACCAAATTTTGTTCATAAATGAATGCATTTAAAAAGCATTTGAAATTTGAAAGCATTTTAATGGGAGCAAGTGTTAGCTGATAAAATAAATTAAAAATTTAAAAGAACTGTGCCCAAGTTACTAGCATGCATTAACTTCTGCATCAGTTACAAATGATTGCATATTCTTCTTGCCCATGGCTTACAGGACTGTATTCTCTCTCCTCTGCAACAAACTATTGCACAAAAGAGCTATAGCTTAGCAGATGCACAATAACTACTGAAAAAAAAATAGGGTTTTTTGCTAACATTACAGCAGTTTCTTCTTGCATTTTTGTTAAGCCTTTGTTTCAAATAAAAAACAACCAAGCTGCTATTTCAAGGTAAAAGAAAATTAACTACTGCTCATGTTGCATGTATTTACTTTGTGCCTTTTACTTTGGGCTTCTTATCTTCTTCTTCTGGTTTGTCCTTCTTCAGCTTTCTATTTGGTCTTGGAACAATATCATCAAATGGATTAAACAAAACCTTTAAAAAAAAAGAATATTTTAGTCACATCCCTAGTAAGCACTGTTAATAAATGTCTCAATACTTTAAAAGCAATACATAAAAGACATGCCAGATTTTCATACCAGATCACAGCTCTCTTAGTAATACAAATGAAATAATTAAAAAACCACGAGTTGTAAAGAACATACCTACCTCACTACTTCTTATTTTATGTGGACTGAGTGGTCTTTCCTCTTTGTCAACTTCCACTTCAGCTAGCCGCAGCATGTTATATATAGTATCTCCAGTAACCTATCAAATGCACAGGAAAGGTTTGAAAGTACTTAAGTACTTCTGCAAAACACAAGGCAATTATTACGTAAAGAATTTGAAAATACAAGTGATACAGGAAATACTGTAGGCATATAAATCACTTAAAAGAGAGTAAGTACAGCGTACCAATGGTTTTGGCTTTTCATCTTTAAATTAACAGCGAAGTTGAAAGAACATAAGAAAGAGCAAATTGTGCATTTCTGAGAGCAGAGGAAGATGTCAAAATTTTTCTGGGACTTGTAAAGCAGGAAAATAAAATACTGAAATACAAAAATTGTAGCTTTACTTTCTTTTGAATGAACTATGAAAGTGGTAAGCTCATCTTAGGCTTTTTAATTTCCTGACTTTCCGTAAGTAATTACAGCTTACAAATAAATGTAAACAAATAAACAAATAAATAATGTTATTAGCATTAGACTAGTAAAGCAGTTATCATATTTCTAGTAAGGGATGATTTAAAAGGAAGCACAACACTTCTTTTCAGAAGAAAAACAGTAAAAAGTAGATAATGATGGCAACAACCCATAGAAACATTTCCAAGAGATGCAGACAGAATGCAGGCAGCTCAGAATGAAGTAAAATAATTTCATACATATCTAACACAAACAACACTACAAGAACCTTCAATGATAGAGAAACATATACATGCTTCTAGCAAGCTCAAACTGAGGCTACTCTGTGTAGCAGACCTTTCCAAAGATCGTGTGCTTGTTATTAAGTTCATCTGCACGACCCAGTGTAAAGAAAAACTGACTGCCATTATCATGGGGTCCAGCATTTGCCATAGCAACAAGTCCTCTTCGATTAAATCGCAATCGTGAATGGAACTCATCCTGGAAAAGATAAAAAGAAGTATTTAACTACTATATATTTATATTAACATACACTGACGAAAAATAAACTGTTAGTTCAAATAAATTAAAAATTCAAGCATTAATAAAACTGGTCATTTATACCTTAGTAACAAGATTATATTTAAAACTTCTGCTCAAAACAGAAACAATTTTTAGTCTATCTTTTCTTCTCAGTTTCTATATCATCACAAATAAGCAAACAAAATTATTTCAAAACAAAACAAAAACAAAATCAAAACAGAAACAAAATCAATTAACAAAATCTGAAGAAAAAGTTTAGAAGTTACTATGCCAATAATAAAAAAAAAAGATACACAATAGAAGATACACAATACACAGCAGAAACACAATTCAAGATAAACTAAGTTTTGCTAAGATAACTTTCCCCTTTTCTAAGTATTGCCTAATATTAATCATTATTTCTGTTGAAATTAGTGCTCTATAGAACAGTAAAAGAAAAAAGAAAAAGAAAAAAAGAAAAAGAAAGCATTTCTTAACGTAACTGCATCACAGGTATTTCCTGTAAAACCATTATTCTAGTCAACTGTTTCATTTAGCAGAAATTCTAATCCATGTAAAATAACCAGAAGTTCAGAAGCTTTGCAATAGTACAATATTACTCAAATCCAAAGGAAGAACATCTTCAGGACCATGAGAAGACAGAAGAGGGCATCAAATAAAGATGACAGTGATGAGTAACACACAGTATGAGTAAAACACAATAGTATAAAACTTCTTTAACACTTAACAAAAATATTAAATAAGTGTTATTACTACACTATTAGAAGTATTTGTTTTGATGTTTGCTCACGTAGCAACCTCTCCCACAAACTGCAGATATGCATTAATGCAGGATTTGCATTAAAACTGCAGCAGGTGGACTGATGACCCAGAAAGGTCACATAGTTTCAGTCACCAGCTAAATGTTTACCCTATCTGAAAGACTCAACCAGAATAGAGCACAGCTTCTGTGCATGCGAAACTTCACTCAGGATCTGAAGGTCCTGACCAAGAGAAGTGATGTGCAATTATCAATAATACTAGTGACTACATATACATTCAGATACCTTTGACTATTCAGACAAAATGTACATGAACAACTCACATTTCTGCTCCTCAGTTTTCCACAAAGATGCATAGAATGCTTTAGGACCTTATATATCACCCAGTTCCAATCCCCTGTCATGGGCAGGGTTACCCCTCACTAGACTGGGTTGTCCAAAGCCCCATCCAAGCCTTAAGCACTCAATATGGATGATGCATCCGCAGCTCTTCCAGGCCATCTGTTCCATTGCCCCACCACTTTCTGAGTTAAGAGTTTCTTTTTAATGTCTAATCTAAATCTACTGCACAAAATATTCCTTTCTTCTGTCATTCTCAGACAAAGAGGCTTTCTGCAGCTTTCCTGTTAGTCCCCTTTAGGTGCTGGAAGGCCTCTGTACTGCCTCTGCAGATTCCTCTCTTCTCCAAGCTGAACAAGCTCAACTCCCTTAACCATTCTTCACAAAGATGTGCTCCTGCCCTCTGATCACCTTTGTGGTCTCCTCTGGACCTGCTTCAACAGCTCTATATTCTTTCTTGTGCTGGGGGCCCTAGATTTGGATGAAGTAGTTCAGATGGGGCCACACAAGGACAGAGCAGAGAACAATCACATCTGTCTTTTGATGTAGCCCAAGATGCAATCGGCCTTCTTGGCTGCATTTCCCATTGCAGGCTCACGATGAGTTTCTCATCAACCAGCACCCTAAGTTCTTCTCACATCTGCTCTCAATCCATTCTCTGCCCAGCCTGTACTTGTGCTTAGCATTGCCCCAACCTATGATCAGGACCCTGCACTTGATCTTGTTGAACTTCACGAAGTTAAAACACATAAGCACTTGCTCTGAACAATTTTCTCTCCTATTTTTATTTTGTTGAAGTGAATGTTAATAAGGTTATACATTTATCACAGAATTAGAACAGGCATATTTAAGAACACTCAATTCTAAAATACACATTCAAAAATGGTGAAGCATGTGCAAATTCAGAATATGAATAAACTTCAGCATTCCTTATAGAAGAAACTGCATTCCTTCTACAAATTTTTTTTTTTCTCACAACCTAACACAGTAGGAAGGGCAACTGACAGAGAGTAACCAAACATCAATATGCACAAGATACACAGATACATAGCTACATACCTTGAAAGGAGCTCCGTAGATTGAATCTCCACCTGAGCCGGTACCAGTGGGATCACCTCCCTGCACTATAAAACCCGGCACTACTCTGTGAAATATTGTATTATTGTAATACTCTAAAAAAGAAAAAGAAAATATATTAAACATACTTAAGCTATCTAAAGATCACACTTCCAGAGAGATTATGCAGACATATCAGTTACTGGAGTTCTATAAAACAAAACCTACAACAGCATTCTGCCATTTCCACCAAGCTGCCTGATCATATATTGACTTGCTCAGCGTGACTGTACCTTACCTAATCTACAAAGCATTACTGATGATATTTATGAAAAAAAAAAAAAAAGAGGAGTCTTAAGTTTCTGCCACAGAAGATACTGCATACCACTGACAAAATTGTATTAATGAGTAATTTTATTTTCAGGACTACCAATGATAGTACCAGTATATATCACTTTAAAAGGAGAGTTAAATCTACTATGCCCTGTCCCAGCCAGTACCTCACATACATACTTGTTTATATCCATGCACCAAATGGTTATCACTTCCACTCAGTGGCACAGAACACAGGTGTTGTCCCTTTCCCCTACACTGTACTGTCTTTTGCTCCCCAGGTTATCTTGTTACTGTGCTCTATACACACACACATATACTTCAGATAAGCATTATGACACTGTAAGAAAACATAAGTATGAAAAGTTCAACTCGACATATATTTGCTTTATTTTTTCCTTTTTTCAATCTGCATTATGCTGTAAGACAAAGCAGGACCTGACTTTGTGTTGCAGCATAGCTCTGTACGTTCAAGGATAGTTATATTATACAGTACTCACTAGAGAAATACTAAAGCATACAATACAAAGCATAGGATCCAACAGAGTAGCCATGCAAGTTCAGAAAGGAAATATGGCATAGTTTTTTAAAACCGAGGATAACTTAAGGTAATTCCCTGGGCTGAGAAGCTGACTTAATGCTACAAAAAATATTTTTGAAAATCCACATCTTCACATAATCAGTAAGAGCACAGAGTAGACCTTATATATGTCTGGGATACACAAATTCCACACTGCTATTTTTCCTTATCAGAGAGCTAAAAGAACTCTCACCAAATCTTATTAATGGTATATAAGTAGGAGTAGGAAGCATAAATTGAGAGGGTCTTTTGCACATTTTTTGTATAGTTTTCCCGATATGGAACTTCTCATTTAGGTACATTATTTCAGCAAAAGGTTTTACAAGGTTCTAGTCAATAAAACCCCACAGCAAATGAAACATTAAAAGCACTCATGAAGAAATGAACAGGGAGTAACAACAGTGAAGCAGGAATGAACAGGGAATGTCCAAGCATTGCATCACTGACATTTCCTATGTGCATTAAAGCTGCTATACTTTGTAGAGACTTCCTGAAAATAGGCCTTCCTAAACATCTGACACCAACTACTACATTCAAGAAAACCACCTAAAAATTGTTGTTCTTTTTCCTTCCATTGGGTTCCTTAATGAAACCTTGAAAAATGTTTTTGATCTGGGTAGCAAGTAATAAAAATAATTAGTTAACATATTAAAACTTACTTATGACTTATCTTTTCCAAAACTGTCATCAAAATACCAATAGTACACATTAAATAATTCTAACAAATCCTACCCCATCTTGTCCTTACCTTCCATACAAAGCTGGATGAAATTTCGACATGCTTTTGGTGCTTCTTTAGACCACAATTCTATATCAATATCTCCTGCTGTAGTTCTCAGCAAAACCTACAAAATTTTTATAAACATACCATTAGTTTTATTGCAACTTAGACACTAATAAACAAATATTACTACTGAGTTAAAAGGCACAGTTAACTTCATAACATTAACAACAGTAGTAGATAAGTAGTAAGCAGTTAAGGCTGGTGATGAGTAGCGTCCCCCAGAGGTCCAACTTAATCACCTTTATCGCTGACATACACAGTGAGCTTGAGTACACCCTCAAGTTTGCTGATGACACCAAGATGAGTAGTGTAGTTGATATGAAAGAAGGAAGGGATGTCGTTCAGAAGGACCTGGACAGGCTTGAAAAGTGGGGCCCACATGAGGTTCAACTAGGCCAAGTGCAAGGTGCTTTATGCGAGTTGGGGCATAAACGTACAGACTGGGAGAAAAACTCCTTGAAGGCAGCCCTTCTGCAAAGAATTTAGGGGTTCTGTGCATGAACATCTGGGAATGTTCACATTTCATCTGGGTGTGGATGAAAAGCTGGACATCAGCCAGCAGTGTGCAAACCCTAAGTCCAAGTGTATTCTGGGCTGTGTCAACAGAAGAGCAGCCAGCAGGGAAAGAGGGGATTGTACCCCTCTGTTCTGCCCTCTTGAAGCCCCACCTGGAGTACTGTGTCCAGACCTGGGGCTCCCAACAAGATAAAGATGTGGAGTTGTTGGAGCAGGTCCAGAGGAGGGCCATGAAAATGATCAGAAGGCTGCAGCACCTCTCCTGCGAAGAAAGGTTGAAGTAACAGATCTTGTTCAGGCTGGAAAAGAGAAGGCTCCTGGGAGACCTCACCGTAGCCTTCCAGTACTTGAAGTAAGGATATAAACAAGAAGGAAACCAACTTTTATGTGAGTAGTCAGTGACAGGACAAGGGCAGATCGTTTTAAATTGAAAGAGAGCAGATTTAGGCTGCACGTATGGGGAAAATTCTTTACTCAGAAGGTGGAGAGCCACTGTCCATAGAAGCTGTGGCGCTCCATCCATGGAGGTGTCAAGCTCAGGTTGGATGGGGCATTGAGCAGCTGAGCTGGAGGGAGGATGGAGCAGCCCTTCCCATGGCTGGAGATTGGAACTGGGTGACCTTTGATCCAAACCATTCTGTGATTCTATGATATCCCAATGTAGTTTTGCAGCACTTCAGATATAGTTCTGAAGTAACTCAGATGAAAAGACTACTGATAACACAGTAACTACCAGAGAGTAGAATATTAAACACTCTTTAATATTTCCACAATGAGACAACGCAGAAAAAGAATATGCCTTAAATCTCCAGTGGCACGCTCTATTTATTACAGGTAACACCAATAAAGACAATGCCGATTCATAACAAAGCGGTAAATATAACAAGCGGCCGAAAGCGACAAAATCAGCCGCCTGCCCCTCGCCCGCGCTGCCAGCAGCTCCCGCCCTCCCCTCCCTTGCAGCTCCTCCGAGGGCAGCGCGCGCACTGCCGCGCGGCAAGGCGAGCATGGCGCCGGCTGCCCGCAGGGAGCCTCACCTTGCCGTTGGTGGGGGGCTCCTGGATGTAGATGTTGCTCATGCTGGGGAAGGGGTGTTGTGGCAGACCCACGCAGTCCCAGTCCGAAGCGCATCAACCCTTCTCCCCTACCCGCGCTACTGCCCGCAGTCCGCCGCCATCTTGGGCGCCTCTACACAGCACAGTGGAGCGGGGGAAGGGTGTGACTGCCCAGAACAGGGGAAAGGAGAAAGGAGCGCTCCGCCGATCAGGGGCTGCACGGCGATCACGGAGTTAATTATTTCTGGAAGGATCTGAAGGCTTTTCCGGACCTCCTGTCCCTCCTCGTCTCCCCGGCCCGGTACTGAGGTCCCCCGTCCTCCCCGGGAGTGGCGCGGCCCGAGAGCTCCGGGCTAAGCCTTCCGGCGGGAAGAGGCGCCGCGGCGTTTCCGGGCCGGGCTGCGTGGAGGACGCTGCTCGCAATGGCTCTGCCGGGTGAGGAAGAGTCCCGAGGCTGCGGGGCGGCGTGCTGAGATGGGAGCGATGGGGTCAGCGGCACCGTTCGTGGGGAGGCTAGGTGCGAGGAGCGGCTGGCGGTGCGTTTGCCAGCCTGCGGAGCTGAAGTGCCGCCGCCATGGCCGAGCCAGCAGCTGAGCGGGGCTGTGGGCTCCAGCAGCCCTCCTGCGCTCAGTACGCGGCCCTCGCCTGCAGTCTTGTGGGTGCGCGAGGGTACGACTGGCTCCTGCCGTCTGCAGGTGGTCACTGCCTTCCTTAGAGGTCCCGAGAATGGCATCGTCCCGCATGGTTTTTCCTCCTCGTGCCCCAGATTAACCCTGTCTGCATCTAGGTTGTTTAAGTAAAGGCTTTAAGAGCGGAGGTGCAGTCAGCATGGGCAGCAATGGTCGTGTTACCCACGAGGTATTCAGCCTGTGTGATCCTGTGGTGTGAGGAGTCTTCGGCTGGAGAAAATTGAGGAAGACTGAATCTTGCTATGAGTTCAACAACAACAACAAAAACCTAACAAAAACAATTCTTTAATAAAGCTGCTCTTGTTCTCATCTTAGGGGATAGTTTCTGAAGGAAGAGGTCTTATATTTGTGTTCAAAGATTTGCAAAACCTCTTTTGCAATATTGTTGTCTGCTAAATGAGTGAGGCCCTTAGTTTTTTTTGGAGAACTGGCAGTTGGAAAAGGGGGGAAGTGGGTGGAGAGAAGGAAGCCTTTACTTGTTTGCTTTTAATTGCCTGAAACTTAATCTATTCTAAAACCCTGTTTCTAACATCATTATTTAAATCCCAAACAATAATGATTTATTATCATCTCAAGAATTTGGTGGGTGCGGGGATGATAATCAAGATCGAGTAAACCTTCATTAGGTCATTAGAGAGCCATTAACTTCTTCAGACACTATCATCAAGCCCTAGCAAGATTCCATTCTCAGTTGGGATTCCTGATTTTGCTGCTATGTAAAATTTCTTTTATACACTTTTTTTCCATATTTTTCAGTCACACGCTTTTTGTGTCTTAATTGGTGCTCATTTCTCTGCTGTTTCTCTTAAAAACGTGTGTTTTCTTTACAGAAATCTACATCTTGCAAGTTGCACCTGAATAGGTAGTCCATAGGTAGTCCAATGCCTTTCTTATCAAGTACTGGGTGATTATTGGAAAGCCTTGCACAAAGCGTTTGCACGTATAGTAGACTGTAGTGTGTGCTCGCTTCCTTTCCATTGAGCACTGAGTCCTTCTGTACTGCTTTGATTACATTGATAGAGATGGAGTTTATTGAGTATGTCAGAATGATGAAAGATGAAATCTTACTTACGAGTCCAGATGTGAACTGAATCAGCAGATGCTGTTGAGTATTTCTGTGATACGGCATTGCAAGATAGAGATACATTTTTTTACTCTTTCCTTTACACTTTGTTTTATTTTTATGTTGCCTGTCCCCTTATTTCTCCTGGTTTTCTCATGGTTTAAAGATAGATACTTATGAAATAGACACATAATGACTGCAGAGTTTATAAACCACTGAGAAGATACGTAACACTGAGGTTTGGGATCTGCAGAAAACCATGGGATTTCAAGGCTCCTCTGTTTCTGTTAGTAGGATTTACTGAAGATGATACTTCTCTCAGTAAATCAAAGTTTGAACTCTTGAAGCTGATATACCCCATTTCCGGTTCTGTAATTTCATAGTTTTTTTCTTATGTTAGGTTAATTATTTAAATAAAGGAACTAGTTGTACAGAAAACTGTGTATACAACTGTTTAATTTTCCATATTTTTCATACTGGATAGAAAGACACTCTTTGATTTTGGAAATGCTGTTTTGCTTAGAATTATGAATTGACTCAGCTGACTTAAAAATTGCACTGATCCTTTGGTGGGTAACAGGATCCACATTTTGTCTTCTGAGTTAGATCTTGATGATCTACTTAACTGGGGGCACAAGTAGGCATAGAAAGCGACTGCCAAAATTCAGAAGAGTGATCATTCTGGTCTGTCTACTGGTGTTACCAAGCCAGATTTAAAAGTAACAAGTAATTGATGAAATGTTCTGTTTCAGGTGCAAATAAGGATAACATCAGAGCAGGATGCAAGAAATGTGGCTACCGTAAGTCTATATAGTAAACAATGTGGTAGTGCAGTATTAGTTTTGGGTTTTGGTTTTTTGGGTTTTTTTGGTGTTTTTTTTTTCCGATTTATAATGATGGGACTACTTTTGGGGGAGAAAAAGGGGAAAAAAAAAAAAGATCTCCACCCTTGTGGCTGTTCTAGTCCCTCACTGCTCTCATTGTATATATACAATATATACATATTGTATATTATATATACATATATCCTTGGGTATTTTTGAAGACCTGAGTTTCTTAGCCATAAAAATCACCTGTATGCTGATGTATTCACATGTACTAAATTTGCTGTGCAATTGCTTGAGAAACCTTGAATTCCAAGCACTGTCTTTAACATCTATTGTACTTGTGAGGTAAGCATTTGTGTTCTTTTTGAATCTCATTGCAAGCTTAAGCAGGGCTTTCTGCTCAAGATATGTCCAGTGTGTTTTGAAAAAAAATAAAATAAAATCTGCATGATCTTCTACACAAAGAAAGTATCCTTTGTAAGATGTGCTTTGAGTTATGAAAGCCTGCCCTCCTCCTGAAGGCCCTATCAGGGGTTGATGCTGTGCAAGACCAGCCCTTTTCATCACAAGCTGCCTGATGCTGCTGTTACTTGCAAGAGCTAAATGCTGATTTACGGAACAGGTTTTTCATTATGTTGTGTTAGGGAAAGTACATCTGTGACTATTTTCCTGATGAATATAGATGTGTTCTAGTGAAAATATTAGTTTATTAATCACTCAGTCACATTTTTAGAACAGTGGAGAAGTGGACACTGCTCCATAGTGAACTGCAGTGAACTTTTAACACAGTGATTTAAGCTATATTTGTGTGTTTTATGTAGGATGAAGGAAAAAAGCTTTGTTCTTTCACTGAAGACTTTGCTTCCAACAAATTTTATCAATGAATTCCCTTATGTATCCAGTCTTTCAGAGAAATAGGGATATCAATATAGATTCAGTGGTTTATTTGTAGATGCAATGTCAGAGGTTTTCTGGAAGAGAAGGAGACTTATGGTTAAATTGCACAGCCTACATTTTTTTTTTCTGTATTCAAGGTCTTTAATAGAGAGAAGCTGAGTTTGTTGCTACTTGAATTCTTTCACAGACCATATCTTCAATTTGTTTTATTTTTATTGTTATTCCAATAGAAATATTCAACTTCAAGGCGTCTAACTCATGGTAGTGATTATAACAATCTAACTTAGAGAAGTAAAAATACTAGTCCTGTGTTAGTGAGGATTAGTATTATGTACTGATTATTAAAAATGATTTATATTTCATAAGGAAATAATGTTCTTCTATTTCACTGAAGAGAGATGGAAAAAGCAGTGTACAGAAGAACTTGCTATAGTTTTCCAAATATTTCTCTTCATGCTTTTAAATTGTTATTTTAAGTAGTTTCTTCTGAAAGGATATGAGACTATTAAAGAAATATTAAGTATTTCTTTAACAAGAAATATGAAGAAGAAGAATATAAAATATTAAAGAAATAGAAAATCTTTAACAAAAATATGCACCATTAGAATACCATTGCACAGCCTCTCAAGGAGAAATTTGCAGTTTGTTCTCCTTCTTCATTCATTGATTGTAGTCTATCCTAGCTTTCTTTCTCTTATTAAAATGGAATAATACTCTTAGCTTTTGATAATATTTGCTAGTTTTTAATGTGCTTCTAAATTTTTGTTTTCTGTAGCTGGTCATTTGACATTTGAATGCCGAAACTTTCTTCGAGTGGATCCTCAAAGAGATATTGTTTTAGATGTTAGCAGCACAAGCAGTGAAGATAGCGAGGAAGAGGAGTTACAGAGACTGCAAGCCCTGCGTGAAAAGAAAAGTAAGTTAGATCTTCTAAAAAAAAAATTCAGTTAGCTATTTATTTTAGTAGTAAGTTGGACAATGGTCTTCTGATGTGCTGGACCTGTCATTTCATTCTTTCCTACCGTAAACAGTACATCTTTTACGTCAAATGTTCAGACTTAAGATATTTGATACGTTCATGCATTTTTTTATTGATTCCTTTCATTGGAAATTAACAGTTTATGCATTTAGAACATCTCAAAAAGGTCTTATTGCAAAAGACTATAAAACTATTAATAAGCAGCTACTTTGAAGAAAATGAAATTGATATTCTGAGTTGATTCTGTGATTATGTGTATTTTAAATATCTTAAAGTCAACAGCAACTCTTAAAACCAATGACAAATATGGCAGTTGAGTTCTTTTCAAATTTCTATACAGTAGCTGACCAATTGAATTTCAACACTAATACTTGGAGAAACACTTACAATTCTCAAATTTCACAGAGGTGCCATCAGAAGGAAAGTAGATGTGTTAGTTACTTAACAGTTATGTGGATTCATTTCAATTTGGACTCTGAAAAGGCTGTTCCCCTAAAAAAAATGGGAAGGTTGTTCTACTGTGTCAAATTGTCAAAATTCTCTCAAGGGTATATGACCAGTTTTGTGGTTCAACCTGACAGACAGCTAAGCACCACCAGTGAGCTGTTTGCTCAATCCCCTCAAATCTCCCTTCCAATGGAAAAGAGAGAATTGAGGGCAAAGAGAGGATGGA